ATTATCTACTGTATATATTATGACTCCAGCGTTCTTTTACCACTTTTGCGTTGTTTTCACTTTAAACTCGGGTCGATTTCTCGCCTGTCTGAAAAAATATCGCTACCGCTGGTTGGCTTTTGCACCGCCACCTTGCCTAATTTCCTTCCCCTTGTTATTATTATACCCGCGCAGTGTTGTTTCCTTCACTATGCGTTTTGCGCCTCCGCCTCCGCCATTGTCACTATTTTCGTCTTCTTGTCGAGGCGTGGGGGCGACATAACAGGATCAGCTCCACGCTTCACGCCTCAACACAACCCACCGCCCTCTTCCATCTCCCCACAGCTCCTAATCTTGTTACCCGTTAGCCTCTGTTCTTTCTGTGGTAAGAAATATCAATTAATAAAGTGATAATGGGTTCGCAGCACCCGGGCTCGTCGCCAGCTGCCTCATTAAATAGCCCCATCGTGGCTGCCTCCAAACGCCCAAGACGCAAAACCCATACAGTACTATACACTGCCACCCGTCTGCGTGTAAATATAAAACAATTCTTCGTAACGGTCCGGCCGATTTCATCACGGTTCCGCATTCCGCTTGCCTCCCAGTTTTGATGCCCGCTGTTTCCACTCATACATGATTATATCCAATATCGAAGAGCCAACCGGCCCCCCATATCAACAGAATGAAAACACCTCTGCCTATCCGTCCAGAATCGAAACGTGTATTGAAAGAAACAAATATTCAGGTTATGCACCGCACCGCATCACCGTTCGTATTTAGAATGCAAGGCGCAGAACCAGACTCACTGATTGCTGCGCCTGCTTCTCCTCGTTCATCTCTTCACCATCAACCGACATCTGCAAATCTTTGCCACTCTGGTCGACAATCTTTTCCACCTCGAGTCGCATGTCTTGTCCTTCGGCAAGTTCGTGTACGACGTCATTGTCCAGCTCCACCTCGAGTCCGCTGGGCAGTCGATGCAGTATTCGCGAGATTCGGCTCTCAACTAGTCCAAACTTGGCGGCAAGCTGCTTGATCAGCTCTGGAAGCGACCGCTCGTAAAGATAAATCGCGCGATGGTACTCGCGCTTCTCCGTCATCTGGTCGTCATATTGCACGTAGAAGCAGGCCACAGGCTTAGGCCCGCGTTCTTGCGGCGGTCTGTACGATGGATCCACGCCCAGCGCCTCGATCCACCCGCTCAGCGTACCAGGATCATCCGTTCGGTTGACAGCTGTAACTTGATCGGGGCCTCTAGAATCAAAGTTTTGCCAATGACCACCCGTTGATGACTGCGACGCCAGGGATAGCGAGCTGGGCGAAGGTGAGATGAGTGAGCTCCGTACCGAGCTGCGTCCGCTGCGTGCCTGCCAGTTGCGCCCCTCGCGAGTAGCAGGAGACGAGTCACCAGGCATGGAAACAGGATGTAGATCCATATCATCTGGATCTTCGCCGCGTAGAAATAGCACACTAATCGGGCGAGTGCTGGTGAACATGTCCTGGAGCGTCTGTAATCGAAAGAGCAAATCATCTTCGAGCGAAGGCCGAGCTCCGTTATTAGAGCTAGAAGAAGACATGGACCAACTTCTCTTGTGCTTCTGCGTCTTGCCAGAGCGAGAGTCGACGCTGGTTTTGGAAGCAATACTCTGTCGCTTTCTCTTGCTGTCCTTAACGCCGCTTTCAGCTTGAGCAATCTGTTGCTTTAACTTCTCAATAGATTTCTTAATGTGCGCCACATCGTTGGAAAGTTTGCGTTCTGCACCGTGATCTCGGAACAGCTTGACCTTGCAGTAGCAGACATCGGGCTTGACATCATTGCTAGCATCGAGAGTGTCTCCCGACAACTGGGTAGTCTTAGCGCAGAGTCGCACAGGGATACCCTTGACACCCTTGGAGTGGCTAAAATCAGTAGATAAAAAGTTGAATCGGACGGCAATGTTGACTTCGGGAGCACCGGCAGTGCCAGGCGTCCAAACAACACAGAAGCCATCAAATGACGAGGATTCCACTTCGATTCGCGTTCTCTTATCGTCCCCCTCAGCTGGCTGACTAGCTTCGACATATTCAACGGCTTGAAGCTTGCCACCGCGCTGGTGAGCTTCGTTGGTACCTCGGCCTTCCTTCCACAGACCCCAACAAACGCTGGGCTTGGAGCGTTGCTCTTCGTCTTCAAACGAAACGCGGACAAAGGTTCGATAGCGAGTTCCGGGCTGAACTGGCAAGACACCTTGCGTATCGGCAACGGAGAGAGAATAGGCTTGTCCTTTGTTAAGATACGTAATGGGGATTTCGTCGGCCTGCTTCACCATGGCCGTGGCGGCGTTAAGAGTGGAATGGAATCGAAACTTTTCTGCTGACGGCGGCAAGGGGAGGCTCATGGCGGCAGCGTTTACGGCCAGCTGACTTTTGAGGCCAATGAGCCGAGGGTCGGGTTCTTCGGAACCCATGGGAGATGGATCTTGTTCCATGGTCTCGTAACCGGTGTCATGCTGAACAAAATGCGTAGGGGCATATTGGTGACCAGGAACTTGCAGGTAAGGTTGAAATGGAGGCATCTGCTGGTTGGTGGCGGAATGGAAAGCTGAAGGGTCCATGGCAACACCAGACTGCATAGCTTCTAAGGAGGAAGGCGCACCGAAAGGAGTGGTAACGCCCTGGAGCATGGCCATGGTGGTGGGCGAATGCAGATCGCCGGCCTGAGATTGATACAAGGGCGGCGGGCCATGTATGCCCGGGGTAAACAGGCCGGTGTTGCCATGACCAAAGGAAGTAAATGCAAACGAGTTGGGGTCTAGCAGCGAAGGTGTGAAGCGCCACTGGTCGTTGTTGGCTCTGGGTGTTGGGTCTTGGTCATGGAATTCTGGGCGAATGCTTAGATGGTCAGGGTGGGATTCAGCAGCAGATCAGGACAGGGGACATACTTGGGGACCGCCGGAGCAGCTGTGGTCATGTCTGGGCCGCCAGCGGTTTGAGAAAGGCCAGGCGAGCCACCTTCGGCGGTGGAGCCTATTTGAGGGAACTGTTGGCGGAAATTGGCGAGCAACTCATCGTCGGGTTTTTGGGAGCTCGTCCTAACAGAGGTCAGCAAGAATTAGGCAGAGGTTAACTGCGAGGATGCTACCTTTGACTGAACATGGTGGTGGTGATGGCGATGTGAATGGGACTGTAGGATGTCGGGTCGCGTGGGCCGGGTGTTTGCAGGGGCAGATTCGCCTCGAGGCGGCGGAGAATAAAATGCGCTTAGTTGATGGGTGGGCGAGCGGCTAGATGAAAACAGTAATCGTAAATGCGGTATCAAGGCGCAGTGGCCGCAGAAAGGCGCTGCATAGATAGATGGCAGCGGCAAAAGTGGTGAGAGGTAAGGGCTGCAAGAGACGAGAGCGTGAGTCGATGTTCCTGGTACAGATCGCAAACGCAGCAGGTGGAAGGGACGTCTGCAGCGACGGTGCGTCGAGCAGGTAAAGCGCGGGAAATGACGAGGTGATATTGGGAAGAGTCGTGATGTTAAGAACGAATGACCAATGCGAGGAATGGACAGGATGATTGTACTTGAGAGTGCGGAGGAATTGGGGGGGAGAAGAGAAGAAGGGTAGTCGTTTGAGAAGTGCGGTCGGCGATGGGGAGTATATCAGTACGAGAAGGAGAGTAGAGTGGTAGTAGATGACAGAGTGAGTGGTGGGGGCCAGTTCAACAGACAGTGGACTACAGGTGGCTCACAACGGTGGCTCCAACACTGGGCGGCCACGAAGACTTGACTTCAGAGTCCAGGCACAAGCTGCAGAGTCAGCGGCAGAGGGAGCACAGGGAGGAGCCCAAGGTTCGAGAACCCCCAGATTTATGGGTCCCGGCATTTTAGCGTGCCTGGGTCCGCTGGGGCCAGGCTCGCACCCACTGCATGCACGCCCCCGGCCCTTGCTCGTCCGCTCCAGTACCGCTGGCGCTGGAGAACGCTTGAAAGGCAAGACAACAGAGGAGAGAGAAAACAGGCGGGGGGGGGGGGCAAGACGCGGTGTAGTTGAGATTCTGACAAGAAGAGAAAAAAAACAATATACCTTGTGGCCTAGCAGTCAGCGATGGTCGATGTAACTGTTGAGTGGCTGTCAAAAAGTAAAAAAAGGTTTGATAAAGGATAAAGCCACAGCGTTGGTGGCTGGTGCAGAGGCCCTGTATTTGTAGTCGTCGTTGTCGCGTGGGCTCGTTGCAGGTAGTGATGTTGGACAAGTACCTACAGTGACACACAATAGAGGTGTGCCACATCTGTCAGTAACGAACGCCGCAAACGCCGCAAAAACAGTGGCTGATGCAGAAACAAGGACAAGGACGGTAGCTATTAGCTCGGATGATAAAGATGTAAGAAAAATAAAGACGGACATCCACTGATGATGCTGCATCGGACGGCCATGACCGACGGGGTGACGATTGGTGGCATCGGCAGGCGTGGGCTGCGTGGAGCCCGCAGCGGTTATTTCGTGATGCACATCATAACTAACGCAAAAACAAAGATGGGTATATCGGCGGTGCTACGTAGCCTTGACAGGGGTATGGTTTATACGGGACGAGACAAAGTCACCAAAGGCACCCATGACGAGCTGTGCAGCGTGTCTGATGCGCTGTACAGTAGCAGTTTGACAGGTTTGACAGGTTTGACAGGTTGAACAATTGAGAATGGAACGGTACTGAGTACAACTCTGCATCTGCCGGGCTCGTCCAGCGGGAACAGGGGGTGGAAGGTCCAGCGGCACACGGCGGGAGGTCTGGCGGAAGCCGAAACGTTGTCTGAACCCATCACAACGCATTTTTTTTGTTTTTGTCAAACTGCCAACGCCAGACCTCGATCAAATAAGTTCTATCTTTAAAACCGGCACTTGGAAAACATGAACCGCCCCAGTCAGTCCTTCAGGCTGAAAGCGCCAATTCAGTAATCGGCGGCGGAGCATTACCCCGGGCGCTCATGACCCGTATTTCGGGGTTTATTTGCAAGGGTCCCGTCCCGACAATTTTTTTTTTGGCAAAGACGCCAAACTTTCCGGTATTTTCTAAGTGGCATTTGAAGGTGCGGGTTTGCGTCGGTGCCTGAGAGCGACACATGGCTGGCTGCTGGTCAAGCCACATGTCGTCATAGTGACCCATTATTTTCGTCGAGGCGTCGCTTGTCACTCTAGGGGACCACCAGAGCCGCGAAAAGAGATGGACATTGCAAGCTGCCGAGACGGGACCGACGCAGAAGGTAAAAACTCAAAAGAAAAAGAGAAAAAGAAAAAAAGAAAACGGGGTTGTACGACTTGTTAGTCTTGGGTCTAGGAGGCAACGAAGTAAGCGATTGCTTGTCTGTCGTAACTGCAAGTTGCTGGTGACATTTAAAAATGCTTGGCTTTGTGCTTGTTTCTGGCGCCGGCTGCCACTTCCGGCGGTCGGTCGATCTCTTTGCTATCCTTGAGTATATTTGCACGCGCGTTACGTAGCCAAGCTTTCCCTCTAGTTACCCTCTGCAGAAACAGATGTACCAAGACGACTCGCTTCCTGTCTCTGGCGAGTCAGCCGAACCCAAATATTCATCCAGCAACCTTTGTTCATAAAAGCGCCGGAAAGAAAGATAAAAACCTAACCGCCACGGCAAACCGAACCCTCCCCAAAGAATGGTCGGTCCCTGACTTGCCTCCCCGCCCTCCAAAGCCGCCCACCCGCACCACCACCATCCCAGCGCAAAAAGAAAGACCCCGCACAAGCCGTGTGGCGGTGCGAGTCGCGAGACGCGGCTACATTGTTGGCCAGCGTGATTGACGTCTCTCATTGGCCAGCCACACCCTACAGCTTCGTTAGCTCGGTCGGGCAGCCCACTCTGTCGTCATCGTGCATGGGCCCTAAACGCACGTCTCTGATCGGATAACTAATCTTCCTCTCATCGTTTTGAGGAGGAGATCGGGATGCGCAAGAAGGTAGTGCGACGAGCATCAACATGCACAACGGTTGCATTAATATGTGTATCTGCCGTGCCTCTGGATAAGAACTTTTCAAGGTCCTTTACTAACCATACAATCGCATTGGCCACACAAGAGCACACGCATCCCCGCGCACCGCCACAGGCGCGCCACACAACCATGTACTACGTAGGTGGTGTAAGTCGCGCGTGGCTTGGCTTGGCTTTGACATCACCAAAACACGACGTCATCGCCTTCCCAGTGAGGAAAAATTCTTTTTCACTTGTGCTGGGGCCCGACACCCACACGTAACACACCCCCCCGGACCCGGGTTGATCTTTTCTATATGGGCTGATATGTGACGACATCAATTTATATTCATCCCAAATGTATTTCTATTGTTATCTTTTTTTCCCCGTGTCCATGCCCGAGTTCCGATGCCATATGGCGTCACGAGCTAGTGGAGGGAAAAAAGAGAAAAACTGAAAAGGAGAAAAGCTGAGTATTGTCAATTAAAGTTCGCCTGGTGAAACGACTAACACCAAGGGCCCTCCCCGGCCGAAACCCCAGCCGTCCACTTGAACAGTGCTTTACGAACTGCTTGCAAAAAAAAAAAAGACCCGAGCTCGCCTAGGGCGGTGGGCGGTGTGGTTCAGATCCCGATGGACGGCCCTAACTAGAGCGAAAGTAGAAGGAAAAAAGAAAGCGTTGGTGGTGGGGACCAGCAGGGCTACCTCTCTATTTTTTTCGTCTAAGTTGTGGCGTCGTTCGAAAAGCCGAAAGTTGTTCCCAATGTTTTGCGACGGGGGCCATTTCGAAATATCATTATTACAGATGACGGCACCCAGAACGCCATTTCACCGGCCACCCATCGTCGTCATTGCAGGTATCAAGTACAACGCAGTAGATGGCCACTAACACGACGCCCCCCAAAAAAGTGTCTTTGCAGAACCTTTCTTGACACCCACTTGGGGCCAGGATGTCGGTTATCACTGGGCGATGGATCATCCCAGCGGCTACTTGTGGCTTAGCTCGGATTCAGCTTACATCATATAGCCGCCGTTCATTTTGCTTGTCAAAACGAGCTCTTGTACAGAGTAGTAGGAGCTTGCCTTTGCGAATTGCAGGGAAGAACCCCGAAAGTAGGCCGACCCATTCTTCAGCTGTCCTTCTCAGTTTGATCCGTGCGGTCTAGTTTTTTTCTCTAGGCCCTACCTAGCTGTGCCCATTACGCATGCCTTGAGATCGGCGTTCTGGCCTTAGCCAGCAATGGGTGGGTCACTAGCCCCCCAAAATATGCTGCGGCGTTTTCAAGCCACATCAACTGTGGCGGCCTGAACTGTGCTGTTCATCACCATGACCCATGTGGCGGTACACTGTGGCTGAGCATCCTCCCCACCACGGAGTCATCGCTCCGCTGCTCCGTCACGCCAATGCCTGCCGCTGTTTGTCCCTCTTCTCTTCTTCCTTGTCCACGCAACGACAATGTCTGTGCCACGAGATCAAGCCTCGCTCAGCGGTACCCGTTCGGTGAAGCCGTTGACTAGCCTTGCACGCCGGCTCAATAGCTATCCAGTATTACTCGTCGTTACAGCGTCCCAACAATGAGTGAGCTCGCTTCTTTGCTCCTTGCGGTCCGTGTTGCCAAGAACGTGGCGTGAGCTTGTTTCCTATTCCCTGCTCGGTCCGGCAAGGATGTCAACACAAGAGCAAGTCATTATCGATTTGGGCATAACAACCAGCGCGGAGAACGGAGCACTTCTGGCTGCAGGATAAGCAGAGCATGCGGGCTGAGAAAAAAAAAATGGTACTAGGACGCAACTAGCCACTGTAAAGGTCCTCCAATTCGATAGCAGGCTCACTAGTTAGCTGGCTTGACATGATGAACAGTGCATCCGTCGCTGATCCGATTCGCACTATGAAGGCGACGACACATGCTACGCGTCAACACGCACCTTCCTCTCGCCACGGCGCGAGGCGACATTGGTTAACGCATGCAAACTCCGTCCTCCACGTGTCACCCCGAGTCTAGCCAACGTCCAACATGACACCGAACGTGTGGCGCGAGGACAACAGTAGGGCAACAACCTGGTGCGGTTCTCTGATTCGACGCCATATGTTGACACTGCATCACATCTTGCCCCATCTTGCCGCCGGTCTCATCTTACCTAGCCCAGTGACGTTCCAGGACGGGCCGCGGCCCACGTGTATGCTGTCATGATTGGAGTCACCAGGCCCAAGGTTCAAATTGTGGCGGTGCGTTGCTGTCGGGCCTACCTAGCTTCTGTATTAGTCTTGTTTCGTTCTTGTTCATTTACATCCCAGTAGACAGTTGTTGACGGGGTTGGTGGGCAGTGGTCTTGAGGATATTTGCATATACTGGCCCGTTTTGGGTTGGCGGCCGACGATGCAGATCATTACGACACCATCAAACAGATGGCATTCCGGACGACGATGCAGATCATTACGACACCGTCAAACAGATGCATCCCGGACATGTTTGGAGGAACAGGCTTATCTCTCTGCTGCCGAACTCTAACAAGACTCGAAGCAAAACCAGAGGAGGTGTACATGCCTGTTTCCTCGTCAACGACAACTTGGAGAAATCGCGATCCATTCAGAAACTATCAATTGATACACCATCGAGCACTGGAGAAATCAACGCCGACCAGTGATGCAAAATGCGATTCGTAAACAAGGCTCGTTCTCAAGTTTACACCTTGTCCTTTTCAAGTCCCGTCGTCTCGACCGAGGGCCCAGACGCACCGACGAAACGTTCCTTATCCACCAGCTGCCCTTCGCTGCTCGAGTACTCATTTCGTTTCGCTTCGTTCTCGGCGCGTTTAACTTCCATCTCCTCCTGCCTCTCGCGCAGCTGTCGAATGGTGCGGCTCGCGGCGCGGATCCGGGCGCCGTACCGCCAAAACACAACCGGCACGGGAACCATAGCCACAGCCAGCAGGCCGCACAGCGTGCCAGCCCACCGCGGGGACATGGTCTCATACATATGCGTGCCAGCCAGCGGCAGCGTCGCGCCAAACAGGCTGCGGAGGACAGCGTTGCTAGCTAACGCGCTCGCCGCGTAGATGCCATACGCGCCCGCTAGGTAATTGGACGAGTAGATGAAGCTGAGCGTGTTGCCGAAGCCGAATGGCACACCAAACAGCACCGGCACGACCCAGTGGATGCGTGTCGGCAGGCACGTCCATGAGAAGCCGAGCTGCCCAATGGGCGTCAGCAGTGCGCCCATCATCATTAGGAGCGCCGCGGCCTCAGGCGGTGGCCTGTTGGTGGCGGGATCGCACGGGCGGGAGTTGATGAGGCGTCGGGCGAGCGGTTCTGCGGCAATGGCGAGCACGATGCCCGCGCCGATGCCCAGGTAGGACATGCCGGCGAAGCCGGGGCTCCAGCCGCGGTGCTGGGCAAAGACGACTGGGTAGGCGACGAAGCAGAGGTAGAGGATGCCGTAGATGAGCGCGTTCCAGACGTTGATGAACCACACGATGGGTTCGGTAAAGAAGAGCACAATTGGTCGCTTCATGTTTGTGGTTATGAGCTCCCACGAGGACGTGGTTCTGTCATACTGGCACCACCAGCGGTCATCTCCGGTGTCTTTACGTAGCTTCTCCGCTCGCTTGCGCAGGATGCAGGGCGGATACGTCTCCTTGACGGTCATCATCATGGAAAAGGCGACGCCAGCGAGCACGAGCACAATCCAGTTTGTCCAACGCCATCCTCGGTACTGGTACACGAAGCCGCCAATGAGGGGTCCTAGCACAGGGCCATTGAAGGGGCCTAGACTGAACAGCGACATGCCCATGGCGAGATACTCTGGCTTGGATACATCGACGACGGTGCCCGGGCCGTTGGAGATGAGAGCGGCGCCAAACAGAGCGCTATTTCAAAGTCAGATCAATACCGCCGTGGACATCAATGCAGGCTACATACCTAACAAAGCGGTTGGCGAGAATAGTCGTCAGGCAATCGGCCACGCCGCAGGGGATGATGAAGACGGCCCATATCGCCAGGCCAGTAAGGTATACGACCCTACGCCCGAAGAGCTCGCTCATCGGCGCCACCACCAGGCTGCCGACGGCGAGACCAAGCAGGTACGTTGTGAGCCCCATGGTCGCATAGGTCCGGCTGACGCCAAACTCGGCGATGAGCCCGGGCAGCGCGCCTGTATAGCTGGTGCTGAAGAGCACCACAACCCACGCCGCAAACGAGACGGTCGCAATCGCCCACAGCCGGTACCACGCAGGCCAGTTCTTCGGATCGTCGGGGTCATGTTGACGGAAAAAAACTTCAAAATCGGGCAGCCGGTTCGGGTCGGTGCGTGGCAGCGGCGCGCGAGGACGCGTGGGTGGGATTAGTGAGGAGGGTGCTGGCAGTGGCTGCTGCCGTAGCTCGCTCGGTTCTTGCATTGTGATTTTTGTGGTGAGGGGGAAAAGAGGAAGAAGCAACCCTGTCTGCGTTCCAGGAAGAAGAGAAGAGGGAGTGATGTGGTGTTTACATGAACCGCACGCAAGTGCAGACAAGTGACGATGTTAAAGTCAGGGGCGAGATGGACGCCGACGCAAGAAATTGACGGCTCATCTGCAGGTGTTTGCCACGGGAGACAGATGTTTGTCCATCGGGACGGCACTCCCTTGATTAAAATTCGGATGAAAAAAATCGCGGCTTCAGGGTCATGGGGTAAGGGGAAATGAAAGCCGGGGAAGGGTTGTCACATTTCGGAGCATGGGGGAGGGGGCGAAAGGGATCAACAAACCTTTGTTGCGCTAGCAGCCGATACGACCAGGGCTGAGCGCAATGGCGGCTCATTGGAAGTACAAGAGTCGACAGTTGTCGAAGAACGAACAAGGTCGTGAGCATGGGCGAAGGCTTGTGGCGCAAACTCGTCACATCCTGGAGGAATGGGCCTGCGTCGTCGCCGTTTTGCGAGCTGACCACGTCTTTGACGACGCCGAAGAATCGCCTGGGGAGCCTGCTCGTTTAACATTTCACCGTTGTGGATGAGACATTGGGCATGGAACAGGAATGGCCTTGTCTCAGCGAACATGAGGGGCTGAGGGGCAACCTAGGTTACCCGAGATGGACTTTGTGAGTTGCGGTTGCTAATGGATAGAGAATGGCGTCATGGGATCAGGCGATCCGGCAAACATCTAGATCTGGCGATATGGTGTGTGGCTGACCGGCTGCAATAGTGCGCGATTCAGCCTGGCAAAAAAGCAACGACGATGGCTGGCTTTCCGGTAGCCGCCAGCTAAGTCTTTAAACTGACACACGAAAAACGACATGGTCGTACCTCTCCCCCGAGCTCTGCTCAAGCACAAGAACATGATGTTTTATCCCCCAGGATGTCGAAGGGGCATATCTTGTATTTTACCTCGTGTGCAACACTTGTGCTCATGGAACCATACCTGACATGCATGCTTCTCAAAAGTGATACAGATATGCTGTCAGCGCCTCTAGCACAGGCCACGCAATCAATCACATGAGGATATGATGGGAAGCACCCGGTCTGGTGTAGCCTAGCACACAGCACCTGCATGGAAAGGTAAGCAGTACTTTACTTTTCGTCGCCAGAATCTCAGGTATTGAGTACGGTGCCATGGTGCTCGGCACGGTCCATGGTCGGCCCAACCACGGCAGCATTGACCAGCGTTGTCGCCTCCCCCGATGCACATCGCACAAAGGGCCTGGTGCCATGTCCGACGATGAAGCAAAACACCATGTACAGCACGTCCCAAAGGCCACTGCGGGGTTCACGGCGCGCCGTAGACGCTCAGCGCTCGAGCAGTACGTCGTGGTTGCCCGCGATGACAACCTTCTGCCGGTGCGGCAGCGTGTTGAGCCAGTCGAGCTGGGCCTGCAGCTTGGCGAAGGAGCCGCCGACGGTGAGGTTGCCGGCGTGGAGGAGCAAGTCGCCGTCGGGCACGTTGGGCTGTGTGTCGTGCGTGTCGGATATGCAGACGACGGATATGGCGTCGGGTACGGTGTTGTCAAGCGCTCTGTACGGATAGAGGCGATGTGCGATGAACGGGGCAGGTTTGCGGAGGCGCCGCCATGGTGATGGCCGGGGCGGACACGTTGGTAGAGAAGGTCTGTCCGCCGCTAAGAACGGCTCATCGGAAGTGCCGGGGGTTCGAGAATCTGCTCGGTGAAAGAATCGCCATGGTCTCGACTCCGCATCTGGGGATGACTAGGTAGGTGCGGTAGGTGCTGGGCACAAGATCGAGTCGACAGCCTCATGCACCGACAGTGAGGCGGCTGCCCGCGACTACTGTCTCAAAGCCTTGTCACACGCATCGAACCGCCAAGCGAGAAGAAGAAGGAAAAAGACAAAAATAACATTGTCAAGTCCGTAGGCCCTGCTTCGGCAGTTGTAAGACGCAGACGCCCATGGCTGGGTATGTGAAGTACTTGAATCGGGTTCTCTGGGTACGCAGCTTAAATAGCATCTAGAGATGTGATACTGGAGGGCACGTAAGCCATTGATGACAGAAACCAATGGACTCGACAATGTAACCCGAGACTGCTCTCAATAAAGATGAAGAAGATGAAGAAGATGAAGAAGATGAAGAAGATGAAGAAGATGAAGAA